ACAATAGAAAATTTTCTGTTTCCATTCATTATCTTCCAAACAGTTGTACACATTCAACTCAAATTTTACATATGTATGGTGGCTGATTTACGCCATGCCGTATTTTCGCTTTGTTGCCTCGAAAATGCGAAAAAGCAAAAACACAAAGTTCAACAAGTCGTCTCTTCGTGTTTTCGCATTTTCAAGGCAACAAAGCGAAAATACGACCATAGTATGGCGACTTTTCAGCTTTAATAATAAGGAAAACCTCTGAGGGTGACAATTACGAATTCAAAGTCCCTGTCGGAGTTCGAACCCACAACGATGAGGAGATCTCGGCAGCATCAACAACCCCACATGGTGCATTAATCTTACGAATGTAGATTTTTTTATATAAAAGTTGTTTCGTTTGTTAAAACCGACCCTTTGAACTTGTAATGGAAGATGGTTATAATCCTATAAGCTGCATGACTCCAGATGAGCCAAATTATTTCAAGAAAACCAAACTTGAGAAAAAATGACTGAGATTTTTATAAAATAAAAAGATTAGTAAAAAGGTTCAAGATTCAAGAAATAATTTACATGTTATGTGCAATTAAGGACTGATTATGAAGTATTTTAATTTATATCTCTTTTTTAGCTCACCTGTCACAAAGTGACAGGGTGAGCTTTTGTGATCGCTTTTCGTCCGGCGTCCGGCCGTCCGGCGTCCGTCCGTAAACTTTTGCTTTAAATGACATCTCCTCATAAACCACTGAGCCAATTTCATCCAAACTTCACAGGAATGTTCCTTTGGTGGTCACCTTTAAAAATTGTTCAAAGAATTTAATTCCATGCAGAACTCTGGTTGCCATGGCAACCGAAAGAAAAATCTTTAAATATCTTCTTTTAAACAACCCTAAGAGCTAGAGCTTAGATATTTGGCATGAAACATCTTCTAGTGGGTGTTGATCAAGTTTGTTCAAATAAAAGCCCTGGGGTCAAAATTGGCCCCGCCCCGGGGGGTCATTGATTTTCCCTATATGCATATAGTAAAAACTTAAAAAATCTTCTTTTAAAGAACCGTAAGAGCTAGAGCTTAGATATTAAGCATGAAACATCTTCTAGTGAGTGTCTACCAAGTTTGTTCAAATTAAAGCCCTGTGGTTAAAATTGGCCCCACCCCGGGGGGTCATTGATTTTCCCTATATGCATATAGTAAAAAACTTTAAAAAATCTTCTTTTAAAGAACCATAAGAGCTAGAGCTAAGATATTTGGCATGAAACATATTCTAGTGAATGTCTACCAAGTTTGTTCAAATAAAAGCCCTGGGGTCAAAATTGACCCCGCCCCAGGGGGTCATAGATTTTCCCTATATGCATATAGTAAAAACTTAAAAAATCTTCTTTTAAAGAACCCAAAGAGCTAGAGCTAAGATATTTAGCATGAAACATCTTCTAATGAGTGTCTACCAAGTTTGTTCAAATAAAAGCCCTGGGGTCAAAATTGGCCCCGCCCCAGGGGGTCATTGATTTTCCCTATATGCATATAGTAAAAACTTAAAAATCTTCTTTTAAAGAACTCAAAGAGCTAGAGCTAAGATATTTAGCATGAAACATGTTCTAATGGGTGTCTACCAAATATGTTCAAATAAAAGCCCTTGGGGTCAAAACTGGCCCCGCCGGGGGGGGGTCATTGATTTTCCTTATATGTGTATAGCAAAAACTTAAAATCTTCTTTGAAAAAACCCAAATAGCTAGAGTTTAGATACTAAGCATGAAACATCTTTAAGTAAATATCTACAAAGTTTGTTCAGATAAAAGCCTGGAGGTCAAAACTGGCCCTGCCCCAGGGGTGTCATTGTTTTTAACTATATGTGTATAGTAAAAACTTTAAAAATCTTTTTTTAAAAACCCAATGAGCTAGAACTTAGATGTTTAGCATGAAACATCTTCTTATGGGTGTCTACCAAGTCTGTTCAAATAAACAAATAAAAGCCCGTGGGTAAAAATTGGCCCGGGGGTGGGGGGGGGCTATATACAGGTGAGCGACCTCAGGGCCATCATGGCCCTCTTGTTTTACTTTGTGACTAATGTCAGTTAGAGATAATTTTGCATATTTTGACCTCTTTTGGGGAATTTACATGGACTGTGAGTGCTTTACAATGTGTAAAATTCTTTTTCTGTTCACTTCACAATATTTTACTCCTAAATAGTCTTCATTTTCAAACTTTTCATGAAAATTAGTATGATTCCGGAGCCATTCTGCTTCAAGCTGTTACAAATGACTACATGAGTGTTTGCAAACAACTTGGTACCAGAGAAGACACCTAGTACCTCAATGTCTTCTCAGTTACTAATTTTCCCAGTATACAAAGGGCTATATTTCCAGTACATGTAGTTGAAGAAAGTAGTGTTTATAACAGTATGTATCTATTTCTAGATATTATGAATACAAGTGCAACATTATGCAAATTAAATTATTTATTAGAAAAAATACAGAAATGACGCACAAGTAGTATGCAAGGTGTTTAGCAGTTCAAAATTTTCAATAAAAAGTACATTACTCACATTGTACATATTTTTTGTTTGTTTTACTGCCCTAGCTAATCTATGTAAAAGATCGAATTTTAATTACGGGACCTCAGAGGATTTCCTTTTATCTTAGAAGTTATTAATAGAACATATTTATGAATGATATAATTATAGATATGATGTTACACACCGTACAATCAAATGTGCAGACAGCCGTTCAAGCGTCGACAGCCGTACCAGTATATACATGTCGGAGCCGAAAACACAATTGACCGACGGTAAGTATTCATCTTATTTTAACTTATCCCAACTGTGTTCGAGTAAATCAATGTTATGGATTCATAGTCAACATCCAAAGGAGCATGCTAACAAAAATTTCTGGCCCTGTGCAAGCTTTACTTCACGTGAATTTTGACTGAAAATAACCACACTTTCCGATGAGATGCGGCTTTTTTTTAAGTTACAAAAACTTATTTTTCTCACGATAATTCTCGTAAATCGTTTTATCATAAGATTCGTAAACGTCAACATTTCTTTATTAAATATTCCAAACCATTCCTTCGAAAATGCTTTTCTGTTAAAGTTATAGGGTATTCGAGTGTCGTCAAAATTTGAGTAATTTAAATTAGTGACTTGCAACTTACTCTTATGTATGGTTTGACCAATTCATACCGCCTCCGTGGTCGAGGGGTTAGAGTCGATGATTTCTAATCCAGTTACCTCTCTGGCGTGGGTTCGATCCCAGGGAGATGCTTTGGTTTGGTAGTTTAGCACGGAGGAAGGTAGTCTAGTACTGGTGTAACTCTCCAGGAACGATGGTTAGTTTAAACATATTTATTTCAATATTTTACATATATTACATTTTATATGTGAATAAGTGTTACATAAATTGAAAGGGATTAGAACGAAAGAAAACTTTTATATAGTTCCTCTCCCTAGATAACAAATGATATTTACACAAACATATATGGCAGGATAGCTATTTCATTTAAATTATTAAGTAAGAATATTGCTAGATAGTTTGGAAACTACCCGCCTATATGACTTAAATACTGTTGGAAAAGGCGAAAAATGAAACAAATTAACAAACAAAATGACCAATTCAATTTTATTAAATAATTTATTAGAATGAAAATAATTTATACCCAAGTGTTTGTATAAAATCGCAACATTTAATTATTTGTTTGATTACTCCCATAAGAACCCTAGCTAGTCTAGTAGAAATGTAAAAATTAGAATTTAACTCTCAACTAATACATATTCAGGGAAGAGCGACTTGGTGGAACCCAGCACAACCAACGAGGAGGAAGACGAGGAAGAAGAAGAAATGAACTAGAACCGGAACCTGGACCACCTTTACTAACTCCTCTTGCTATCTCCCTTGATGTCTGTTCAACGATTACATGTGTCCCTGGAATTCCAATCTATAGACCTTTTTACAATACGATTTTCCATAGCAACGAATGTTGCATTTCGCGCATGCGCATTCTGCGTAGGGCAATACGCACTAACGATGTCTACAGACTATCATACTTTAAGGCTTTAAAAGATGCGATTTCATGTTATGTCACCCAAAAAATATTAATATTGGGATGAATTAAGGCGGTTAGTACTGAAAACTTGAATTTATTTTTTAACAGATCTACGAAAATGTGCGGGAGCAATAATTCAATGGTCAAAAAGGGCACACACATGTCGTTTGTTTAAGCACGGATTTATATTACAACGGATACCTACTTTACAAAATACCATATAACTTTTCCATTTATTATCCGATTTTGGAAATTTAAAGTTTATGTTGAAGAAAAATATTTGTTTAATTCAAATATCTAATTTATTTTTTAAAGGTACAGTTTATCTGTCCGCAACGACGGTTAAGAAATTAACTTGACGAAATCCGCGGTAAATTTACATTTTTTATATAAAAAGCAGGTATTTGAAATTTATTATTACGGTACCATAATACTTTCAGTTTCAAAATAAAAAAGAAGCCGATGTAAGTTATTCACAGATGATCAAAGATGCAATATTTAAGATTTATTGGGTTATGTAGTCAAATTTATTAACGCACAATTGTTTTACGGGTAATGTATTGCGGCCTTTACACGTGAAGAAAATTTATTCATTTTTTAGTACAAAATATTGCCGAGATTGTCAATATTGCCATATTCATAGAATATTTAAATTTCATTCATCATTTATATCATTATTATTTTTTGTAAATCTGTTTTCAAATGTCGGTGCAGTGAAGTAGACAATCATCGTAAAATCGTGTGGCTGTCTCGATTCGGGCCTTTTTAATGTCACTCGTATATTTTAATCCGTATATTTTAATTATTCTTTTTATTTGAATGCCTGTAGAAAGATATTTATGATACTTTTTAATGTAACGCTAGAAAAACAATAAAAATATTTACAGTTTGAGTCAGTATTTTGCGAAATAAAAGTAACTGTTGATTATTTTTTACACATCGCTTAAATTTCTTTCAAGTTTAATTACTTTTGAAGGGGGGGGGGGTTTAAGTGATAATTAAAAAACTTAATTTCCAAACTTTCATTACCAGGTTACATGTGATAATTGCAACACTCAATCTTCAAAAACAAATAGAATTTGAATGTATATTTTGTATATGCGCGTTCTTTAACTACAGTCCATGGCATATATGTGGTAAGAAAATGATTCTGAAGAGGATATATATAAATACAATGTAAATCTATTTTCTTTATTAACATTTATAAATGAAATTGAAAATATACAACTAAATTTGTATAGTCCTTTTTCTGAAAAATAATGAAAATAAACATGTGATAAATAAATCATTTGACGTGAATTGTTAAGGATAACCATGAAAAAAGTATGTGTCAAAATAAAAAATAATATTATAAAACAGCTGTTCTCTATGCCAATAAAAGTTTCTTCCTTGCCAATCTAATGAATTCATCTATAGGAATGCTTGTCTAGAATGGTCTGAAAATATATTTAATACACTTATTAGTGGAATATTTACTATATTTATACTAATATACAGGTAATCAAATAAAAAATGTACAAATCATTTGGAAATAATTCACAGAAATAAAGACACATTTCAAACATGAATTTCTTTAAAAGTTTTTTAGCAATCAAGAAACATTTTTTTGCAATGCCATCATTAAACCATGTAAAAAATAATTATCTTATTCTGAATCGCGGTAATAATTCGTGCTTGAAGTAAAAGGGCGGCGAAGTGTAGAGAGTATGCCTAAACAATAGGCGAGTATTTTTTAAATTAGGTATTTTTTAACTAAGCGTTGCAGCGTTCTATCAGCATATTTTCATATATTAATACTTTAGCGACACAAAATAATACTGCATCAATACATTCATATGTGTATAATTTTTCACAAAGCTGCAATAACACCACATACTCCGGTGAAAATCTGTCATATTTCGTACTCCGCGCGTTCCGCCATCTCATTCTGTCCACCTTTATCCGATTACGCGCATGCGCACGACGGGACTTTAAGCTAAACGAAAGTGTCCGATCCTTGTAATATAAATCCGTGGTTTAAGTTATAATTGGACGACTTCTTCATCAGTAATTTAAATTGAAACAGCAGGGTGTTATAGATAAAACTTTATTACCCCTGTATAATATTACACAATTTGTATTGTACACTTCCTTTGAATAACTGGATATTGGTCAGGCGGCAAGTGTCAAACAAATTGGCACGCCAACGGTTGTTCATTCAACCGGGAATTTTATAAAAACCATGATATAATTAATCAGTTACGCTTATATTATTAAAATGGTAATTTATGTAACGTTTAAATATACCGATCAATGTTTATGGATTTTGAGAAGGGACAAATTGTGTGACGTGCATTATTAAAAATATCATGTATTACCACGGATTTATATTATGTAATATAAATCGGTGGTATTACGAAGAACCGGATAAAATGTGTGTTATATCTCTTCCAAACAACCAATCTTAACTTCTCAAAATTTTGAAAAAAATAATTAATTATTTAAAATCTATTTATGTGACTTAATTTTTTCTGTTTGCATCACAGGCAAATCGGATAAAGGATATATATAATCAGGTATATATTGAACATATTGAAAAATGCATTATCACCTGTTCTGATATTTTTTTTCAGAATTATAATTAATCTCGATTTCATGTTTTAAAATTTCTTTTGTTTTTATATGAACTATTTCAACAGCAAATAAGTTGACTTTTCATTTGCTAATAGATACATTAATTTACACATCTTCTTTAAAAAATGATCTCAGCTAGTGTCAGGTCCGTGATCGTAAATTCTTAAACAAGTATCTTTTCCATGCCTTTTTATGACATTCTTCCCTCAAAGCTATAAGACATCTTTTCTATATTTGTTAAAAGCTTTTTCATATAATTTTCTACCGTTTACCTTGAACTAACTCGGTATTGTCTATGAACTTCTACTATATTTCTATGTTGGGCGAAGGATTTTCTGCCCTACGCAGATTGCGCATGCGCGAGAAAATTCTTATTCGGGTCGATTTTTCATAGCAACGGACCGCGTCGTAAAAAGGTCTATATCGGCATTCAATATTTAAGCCGAGCCATGTATTTTCTAAATAAGTTGCCCACTAAATACAACCAGACATAATTCATCTCATATGGTGGGTGAATATGAGACGCATTTGGCATGACGTTTATTCAATATTGCGAATTCAAGCTAATTTAACTTCTAATGGTTCCATTTAACTTTGCCACTAGGTGTGGGAAGAAGCCCTGCTTGGTTAGCACGAACAAGTTGTAAGTTTGTACCGGAATATGGTATTGCTGTACTCCAGTCTAATGTATGGGTAGGTGCCAAAGCAGGAAGTATACTCGACATCACTAATTCCGTGTTTGCAAAATGGCCGACATATGGTCTACGTCTGGCTCATTTAAACTAATTTTGACTAAACATGTGGTTGTTTCCTTGTGTCATACAGCAGAAAATACCTATATGTTACAGCTTATGACAATTTCTGTACCATCAGTTTTATATATTGTTTTCTTTCTTGCTTCAAAACGTTAAGTACCGTGAAGAGCACAGTATTAAGTTTTAATGTGTCATATACATGTATATTTTGCTTGATTACATGGCTGTCATGTGCTAGCTAATAATAAAACATTTCGAGTACATACTTTAAACATCAAACATGCAGGCTACCATGTACCACGATACTTATATATAATATTTCTTCAAGAAAAAGTCTTGATCGCCGTATAGAATGATAATTAATGCATACATGCCTCTGAAAACCGCTGAACAAAAGAATAGAAATTAGCAGGGTTTTCTTTACAATATAATCGTCAAATTTTCGATTGCACAAGTTAAGTTTAAAAGTAAGAAAGTGTTTATACGTTTGTTCAAAGTAAATGTTTAAAAATTTGGACAAGTTTCAAATTACATGACAGACCTTGCTCCAACTAAATTGTATTTTGAGTCATATCAACTTTTCCTATTCTGTTACCTCTATAGATACTTTGAAAATCTGTATATCGGCTGGGGCCAAAAGAAACTTGAAGTCGTTTTTTGAGACTGCACCACCCGAAATGACTCTTACTGAATTTCCAAGTGGACCGGAAATAACAGAAGCAGGCGATCCAACGTAGCGCTCCAAAATAGGAACTTGAAGCTGAATCGACGATGACGACGATGATGATATTGTCGACGATGATGGTGAAGGGGATGCACAGTTTGATTAAATATCGTATTCATATGTACATGAAATGTTTGCAATGCGTCTACAAGAAGGGAACAGGGATTATTAATATGTTTACATCGTTTTAAAATTAGGAACAGGTGTAACAAGAACTACGTTTACAAGTTTAGTGCATGGGACAATATGCATTTTGTTTGAATAATATCTGAGTAGTACAAATAAAATTTCAATTTTGAAAAGAAAATAAAATATACGTACTATTTGGTGCTATTGTCCATTTTTTGAATTAAATCTACAAATCGTTTGAAACTTTTCGTTTATTATTTAAAAATATGTTCAATTTGAAAATAATTACCCTTGTCTAAATTGTCTTTGCGCTTTCACGATATCCGCTATTTGAGTTAGGATCATTGACTCGGATGGGCTGAACCTTGAAGCCATTGGTACTTTTTAGACGAGATATTCTTATTTTTTTATTGACCGTTCGCTTACTTCGAGTAAACTGACTCCTTTTGTCCACTAGATTATGTATAAGTTACTCTAATGTTCACTGTTAGAAAAATAATCTAGTATCTGTTGTTAGTGGGTTATTTTTATGCCCCGGCCATGCAAATGAAAAGGTGGGATATACATGTATATAGCATTACCCCTGTCAGTGCGTGTGTTTCAAAAACATTGACCGGCCCAAAACGTAGTCATTCATGGGATTTTTACACAAATTGGCACAAATGTTAAGCATGATAAAATGTCCTGTCATGCGCAGGACTCTAAAGTGTAGCTCATACTTGAGGTCAAAGGTCAGCAGTTAGAAAATATTTTTTCCTGCACGTAACTCTGTCATGCATCAAGCGATTTCGACATAAATTGGCACAAATGTTAAGCTTGATGAGACGATTTGTCATGCACAAGACATACCTCTAGCTCCAAGGTCAAGGTCACTCTCAGATCTGGTTTAACATACACTTATTTTTCTTTACAAAAGAAAGGACTGTACATCCGGTGTCTAAAACATATATAAGGGCATCCGGGTCTTTCACACACTTTTAGTTCACCAAATAATTAAGTTGGGTATGGGACGGTCATTGAATTGACTTTTTTAACCAATTAATACCACAAGCATTCGTTTCATTTGTGACCAATGATCTTTGGTGTTATGGGATCACTCTTTTGACCATTCAGGCGACTTATTTCCTTATGCCATACAGCCGTTTCGAAATTTAAACCGGGAACTCTGTTGCGTAAGTGGCACATGGAAAAAGATAACTGAACATAATAAATATTTTAAACATTTTGTAATAATAAACAATAATGCATATGCACTAGAAATAACAATGTCTGTGCTCTGGACAAGAAGCCCATAAAACTTTCAACATTTGCCCAGTTTATTTTTTAAACATCTTTTTATTAGCAATTAGCCATGCAATTAGGTATATTTAACTGTCAAGATATGATATATAATTAAGAATTATTTAGCACCAATTTCGTGATAATCATTTATACTACGATTCATTTTCCAGATCTGACTAAATAAGGAAAAACAAAAACGTGTCCTTATGGACTCAAGGTTGTTTTTTTTTTTTTTTTTTTTTTGAAAAAACCATTGTAGATGTACCAATAAACTGATTCTTAAATTGCTTTTATATTTTATAGAGAAAATAAAGTTTACCTGTATCTGACAACAGTAACCTGATTCTGAACCAGTATAAACCAGTTACCTTGAGAGAACATGTAACTAACAACTTCCAAACTTCATTTGAAACACTCTCCACTGATGAACATTATCATACGCGGGAGAAATAAGTATTTTCATCGCGGACCTCGTCCGCGTGTGTGTCGCGGAAAAGCAAATCCGCGAAAACTCAGTGCTTTGCAAAGGACTTAACCTCGGAAACTTAAACTCACAAAATC